TGCGTACATATTACAATATAATTTTAAATTAGTATTCCAATTGGGTTGTTTTGTTCTGGTTTTTGCACCATTTGGCGGCAAATGCACACACACGCGGTATTAACTACAAAAATCAGATAATTTTTTATGACTTGATCACAATGCGCGCATTATCTAAACTATGATTACTATTGTTTGACTTGACGAATTGTGCGACACAAACAAAAAAAACATACAATACAAATTAAAGATGATTAATTGATTAACTCAAAACCAGTTAAAATGAAAATAAACAAATTCACATTTTCTTTTACTTTATTTTCACCCCGTCATATCAAGTCCACTATTTTGTAATTAGGTGGAAAAGGCAATCGAAATTGAAGTTGATTTTTGTGAAAATCATGATCTTTTTTGTTTCCAATTTAATCCCTTCATTTACAAGTAATTCGTCATCCGTGCGATATACATGTTTAACTTCAAACGAATAACCGTTCTTATTACTCATAGCATATTTTCGTTTATTTGTTTCATTTTTGTTAGTTGGTTTGCATTTGTTTTTTCATTTGTATGTTTCTTTTGTTTCGGCAGGAAACACATCGGCACCAATGGTCCGTACATCATATTGGTAATGATAATTTCAGCTTAGATTTGTTAACTTTCCAAAGGTGATATGAATAATATCGCATGTGAGGGAAAGAGAGATTTTATGGGTGATGAAGAGAGATAGCGAATTATCGACAAAAGAAATATACATCTATTGATCATAAAATAACAAATAAATTGAGCAAATGATCTTATAGCTTTGAAGATACGTTTTGTTCCACAGTTGGATAATTTGGAATAATTAATTTGTCGCTATTGGCTGGCTACCAGATGAATCATCATCGATTTACTAATACATAGAGGATAAATGTGTTCTTTATTTAAAAAGTAAATTAGTATGGTTATTAAGTCAAGTTTTCAAGTGAATTTTTCCTGAAATATTTGTAGATTCTGCTTTTGCTTTTTTTGTTTTGTTGTATTACATTTTCGCCCCATGGGTTTTTGTTTTCCTCCCTTCTTTGTTCTTATAATATCTAAGTGAATTTGAATTGACTTGACAGTTCAATCAGCTTTTTTAATTTTTAGATCACATTACAGTTATCGTGATTCATACTATTTTATGTTGCCTTTCTCTCTCTCTCTCTCTCTTTATCTCTCTCTCCGCTTTCAGCCCTTATTTAAGATTATCGTCGTCAATCTTGGAAAATAGTTGCACACAACTAAAAATAGTTACTACTTAATGTGGTCAAAATTTAAAGAAAATATCCGAAAAAATCAAAATGAAAAAAATCTATGAATATGATGTCTATTTTGATGCCGCTCGATGTGAAATGTGCCCACAACAATAGAACATTGTTTAAAATGGCAACGGGGAGAGATACATACACCTATCGTCATGATTTATTTGTAATTATTATTGAATGTTTCGGCTCATCGTCGCTTGCTTTTTTTATTCACACAGTTAACGCGAATAATTACGATCCAATTATGTTATTTATGTTTTTATTTCTAAATTCTATTTATAATATCATCCGTATGAATTCGAGGTGAGGACTTTTTACGTTTTTTGTTTATTTTGCTTTAATTTATAATAACAAAGATCATCACTATACAAAGTCTTAAGCGCATTAATCAGGAGTTTTTTTTTTATATTGATGATTTTTTTCTTCTTTTGTGTATTCTCTCTCTCTTCTTCAAATTTTTAAATTTAAATCACAAAAATGCAGTTTTTATATCTTTATTTTTAATAAGTTCGACTGTCCAGTGCCGTAGCTCTGGCAGCGATTTGTGTGCAAAAGTATTCAATTTTTTTGTCAATTTTATTATTTTTTCTCTTGTATTTATTCATCTGCTTATCTGACAAATAATGGTTTTAGCTTTTTTAAATTAAGATTTTCCTTACATATCTGTTTTTTTTGTTCAGTTTGATCGTATATCGTTCGGTTGGTAAATGCACGATTTTTTTCTGACAGGGCGTAATTAATTGTATGGATTGGATTGAGAAATAATAATGATTGGACACCAAATGTTTGGCTTGTACATCATACTCGTGCCAGGTGATTGTTAAAATATAATTTTAAGTAAAAAAGAGCTAACAACCATTTAAACGAGTAATGGCATCAGCATACACCATACGCATATGCATATTTGCCAACGAACCTGATTCCTTTCAAGTAGGAATGTTTTTTTTTCTGAGTGTCACCATTTTTATTTTCTTTCAATTCTTTTTTTTGGTTTTTTTCATAAATCTGTTGAATTATTGCCATTGCCATTGCCATTCCATCTCGTGGTGTTTTCCTTTAAATCGAATATGTTGTATAATAATATATTTGTCTAAAACTAAATTGTTTTTTTTTCTCAATTTCGGTTCGGAGATATTTTTAGACTGAAATCAGTGCTAGTTTGAAGTTTTGATTTCATTTCAGTTGTTGCTTTATGTTTGCTAGAGTGGGTGGTATATGCCTTATAAATTAATGATCCCTAAAACTAATTTAAATTTCATTATTAATATGCATATGTAGCCATTTGGTCAGTTAAAAAAATCAACTTATTTTCTTCTTTTCCCCGTTTTTATGCTCTGTTTTATTAATCGTTGAATGCTTAGTCAAAGTGGCAACGGGTGCGACAAAATGGACCTGTTCAATGAATTTACCAAATTAACCAATAAATATCACTTTATCTGTATTCGTGCCATGGTAATTTTTAACGCATAATTTTTTCAGTTCAGATTCTCATCTTAACTCCATCTTGTGACCGTTTCCATCATTTCGTTCTGGCATTGAATCGATGAAGAATCTACACTTATCTGTTATTTCTGATTAAATAATCGATTTAAATAAGAAAAAAATATAGAAATCAAATAACAAAACATCAGTTGTTGTTCAAAATGTTCGAAAACAGGGGAGGAAAATTGTGAAGCAAAGACTGGGAAACAACACTGTTGTAAAATTAAATACGTAAAATAGAAAATTAAATAAACAAAGAATACTAACAAACTAACATATAAAAAATGGTTTGTTTTTTTTTCTAGAGTAAAAATTCATTTCACTTGCTTCCTTTCATTTTTACTAAATACTTAAACCATTACTGGTGTGTCTGTATGTGTGTGTGTGTCTGTGTGGGGATCATTTTTTTTTCATACTAAGCAGAGAAAAATGGTTCTTAAAACTATTTTACGGATCACATTTAACCGGTATTTTTACTTCTGATCTAATCACGCACTAGAGACGCGATGATAGGTTCGTTAGTGTTACTATGTGTGCAAAAACAATTTTCATCGTTGCTAATTGCATGTGTATGTGTTGTTGTGCTGTACACATTCGAAGAGAGAACAAAAATATCGTATAAATGTGATCAATCTATATATATAATTTTAACAACGACTAATCTCTTATACTAAGTAAACGTTTACATAAATATTTTCCACAGAAATGTTTGATGTGCGCTTGGCTCACAATTGTCTATTCTGACTGAGCGAATTCTGAGAATAATGAGCAGAAGGCCAGTCCAAAATATTCGGCAGATATTCAACACTCTTTTCGATTTTTTTTGCTTGCAGGTAGACTCTTGATGATCATTCAAATGTCTTTGATATCAATTGGCTTGTTGTCTATGTTTGTTGGTACTTTTGCTGCCGTTAGTAATACATCTTGTATTTAATATTTGGCAAATTATTAAAACAGTGAATAAAATGTCACATATATTAATATATACGAACTAGATTCGAAACTGGATACATGATTTTGCACGTTTTGTTTTGTTTCCCTATGATTTCTTAAGCTTTGCACCGTCTTTTTAATGTTTTTGAACAAATGAGTGCGAGCTCGTCGAGGTGTGCCGTTTTTTGTGTGAAAATGTTGATCATAGTTTTGAAGAGCTCTTGGAAATGTAGGTTTCTATTCAAATAATTATTTTTTATATATAATTTAGAACCATTTGATTATTTTCACAATTTGTTTGCTAAAAAGAAGAATTTCAGTTGCCATAATACAGAAATAGATCATTTTTGTTATTATTATTATTGTTATTATTATTATTATTATTATTATTATTATTTTAATCATTTTTAGTATTGTTGTTGTTGTTGTTTTTGTTTTTGCAATCTTCGATAATTTTTCGTTTCGCTTTTATCTTCCTTACAAATTGTATTAACTGCGCTTACTATTTGTCAATTAATTCGAAAACTTAATTCAATTCCGTCGAAATGAAAACACTTTCTTGCGTCGCCACTTTGCTTGGCAAATTTCCTTTTTCTTCTTGATCCATTTTTCCGTTCAATATTTCGGTGTGAAATATATTGATGCGTTCACCGATCAAGTTTTTATCACAAATGGACGTCCGCAAAATTGCCTCCAGTTTTAACAAATTTGAATTAAATTTCTTCATACTCAATAATCAACACATTTTAATGTTGTTTTTCACTAAAATTCTAGAATAAACAAATATAGAATATATAGTTCAATAGAGTGGTTTTGTTTGTATATATGCGCTTTCATCGTATCATTACCATCGATACCATTATCATTTTTTTGGTTTTTTTCTTTTTTTGTAATCGATTCAATTTAATTCTAAAAAAAATAACATAATAAAACAAGACAATTCTTTAATTTGGCTTAGTTTGCCCTTTGAAGGTCTCTCATTTTTGATAATGCTGTGTTAGTTTTTTTAGTAGTTTTTTTTTAGAGTTTTTGTGTAAAATTCGATCATTGTGTATATTATATGTTGTGTGAGTTATTTTTGTGTTTTTTTCTTGTATCGCATCGTTAAAATATTCGTTATCATGCCATAGTTTTTATAGAAGTTAATTCACATTTTTCTCTATCATTTTAATTCTAGCAATATTAAGGATATTGTTTGTTTCATTTTGTGATGCTTAATTAAAAATATTACGTGAAACTTACAGTCTACGGGCATAGAGATGTATGTATGTATGTATTTAGCATGTATAGAATATATATGTACTAAAAATTGTTAAATTATTTTGTTGTTTGTTGTTGCTGTTGTTTTTTTTATTTATCATTTTTCACTTTTCCCTTATTTCTAAGCCACTTAAATAGTGTGTTTTCTACTCGCTTCTTTGTGTCTTCGCGTTCACATTTGTTTGTCGCATTTGTACAGCCTAATTTAATTCATTGCCAAGTAAATTTTCAGGTAATAGTGAATTTAAACTAGACGGAGTCCCACGTTCAGTTGAAGCAGCATCTAATCCGGTCCAAAAATTACCAGCTGGATTAGTACTAGTAGGCCATACTACTGAACCTGCTCCCCAAGCATCTGAGCCTAGAAATTTATAATTGGACCGTTAAAATGATTTAACATATATCTATATAATAAACTGTATATAAATCGTATTTTTATCGGAATGACGTCTTTGTAGCCTAGTCTGGGTTCGATTCTGAGCAAACAAGCTGCTAAAGAGGGGGAGAAGCGTGGATAATATTTTGTCTTTATATTTAGGAAAACTTACCTGAAGAACGATTTTGGGTGTTTTGACTAGATGGACGCCATTGCGATGATAATGAAGCAGCCGATGTTGGTTGCCCTGGTGGTGGCTGTTGTGATTGTTGGGGATTTTGTGACTGCTATAAAAACAATATATGTTATTAATACTCCAAAGGAAATCAAAAAAGTCCATACTTTTGGCTTTTTTTAGGAAACCACAGCCTGGAAACCAATGACAACTGGGCAATCACTTTGACATTTCGTCGATTGTCCCTATCGAGCGTCGCGTTGAATCGAATGAAAAGAGCCGGTTTTACGCACATGCCTTTATGTAAGTGCAAACGTCGCGTAAAATCGGATCTTTTCATGCGAAGACTCGCTCAATAGTTACGCTGGCCATCGCATTTTCTAGCAGCACAATCGCTGTTGCCAGTCAGTGCCATGATTTGTAGGAAACATAGACTTGTAAGAAATCCTAAGCAATTTTTTCAAGTACCTGTTGCTGCTGTTGGGGCGGAGGTGGCTGTTGATTGGCTGGCACACCCAAGTGCTGTAAGATGTTTTGAACTTCACTCTCACATGGAGATTCAGCACAAATTGTTGTGTTACTCAACACACAGTTATTGAGTGCCATTTGTGCCTTGTTAGCTTCTTCGCGAGTCGAGTATTTACATAAAGCTATGCCATGGTTCAAATACAAATGGAAGTGCTGCAATGGACCATGTTGCATACACAATGTACGCAAAGTTGAACCGTCAATCTGAGCAGTCATGTTCTTCAAAAGTAACCAAGTTGAAGGCCATGAACCCGAACCTATGATTTATGATTTTTACGATTTGAATAGAAAATGTAAGCGAATGAGTATCGACCATTTATATGACACTTACTTAGACGTAAATTACCGCCAATCCAACCATTTGTGCTGGAACTGGTTGCAGTTGAAGTTATTGCGTTGGTGCCAGCTAGATTTCCCTTGTTATTGTTGCCTAGGCCGGGTGGTGGTCCCCGAGCTGATTTGTTCGCCATCGGGGCACTCCATAATTCAGACTGATTGCCCATTTGATGTGATACACCATCGGACCAGTTACTACCTTTGGAACTATATAATTTCATATGCGAACAAAAAGATACTTAGACTTGAAAGAATACAGAAAAATATATCGTGTTGGTTGTAAAACTACAAACCTTGTGAAATGTGGCTGGCTAGATGAGCCTGTTGGATTGAAACTCCAAGTGGAAGACGATAGACTTAACGGTGGTATATCTGTCGGTGAAGTTTTGCTGCTACTTGCAAACAAGTCGGTATCCTTTGCTGCACCTATCGATAATGGACTGCGAGCAACACTGCCCGGGGTAATACTTGGATCATCCTCAATAGTTTTCATCTGCGATCCCTGCAAACGAATATTCATTTCTTTTATTTTAATTCGATAGTATGATTTGTGATGGGTTTACTTACTTTCCAAGGTTTTCCAGGCTCGAACTCAGGAACTAAGTCTGTGAACGCTGCGGCAGGAGATTGTTGAGATGATGGCCAGTCTTTATTCTCGCTATCTGGTGTTGAGTCTGGCCAACCGTCACTAATACTTCGACCAGAAGACCATGTTCTATTTCAAAATTAATGTATGATTAAGGAGCGAAAATTTCCGTAATTATCGGAGAATGAGATTCTATGAATTCATTTGTATGAAAACCGTCTGTCCGATAAATTACTTCCAATACGCTTTACCCAACTGAAATTATCCCAAAAGATGTCGCGTCAGTCGTCAAAAACACTATGTAATCTACAATAGCAAAAAGCATCGTCGCTATTGTGGCAGTTTATTTATCAACAGAATAAAGCTGCTACAATTCTCTTTTATAATATTCCAAATATGTATTGAACATATTTTTCCCTATCGCCGTCAATACGGTCACTAACTGCCTTCAATGCTTAATATAGCAGTCAAAATAAGAATATATCGGATAACTGGTTTTCATATAGCTTTTGAATTCAATTCACAACTTACCCATCCTGTAAACCAAGTGATCCAATAACTGAATTCGATGTAGACATCGTCGATTTGGAAGTCGTTCCTGGTGCACGAGAAAAATCAGTTGTGTTATCACCGCCTTCTTTATCGAAATTGGGCAATTTCCACTGATTCAAACGAGACTGTTGACCGCTTGAGTTTTGGAAGCTATTAGGCGGTTCCTATCAAATACAACCAAAAAAAATCATTTGATGTACGATACACACCACAATATAATGGTAAAACTGTCATCTTGACATCTATTAAAATCAGAGGTTGGTTGCAGATAAATTTATATAAATTTCGAAAATCAAATAAATTTATCCGATATTTTTCCGATGTTGTGTTGTTCTGACGCATTCGTATTACATAAACGAGACATCGGCTGTTGTATTGGCAGCCAGCTATTCATCGCAGGAATGAGATTTTTGATTTGTTCATTTACCGATATTTGTGAACAAGTCTGCCACTGTGTCACTACATAGTATATATAGTCCATAAGAAATGTGCAGAAACGAAAATGTTCGCCATTTGGTTTTACATTGCCAATACATTAGTAATGGAGATTTTTGTTTTGTTTATTTTTTGTTGTTTGTAAACAAATCTGCATATCTTTTTGCATTGTCTCTACACACTTCTTATGGACATATACTATGTACAGTGGCAATGCAAAAAGATAGGCAGATTTGTTTACAAACAACAAAAAATAAACAAAATAAATATCTCTATAACTAATGTATTGGCAATGTTAAACTAAATGGCGAACATTTTCGTCTCTGCACATTTCTTATGGAATATATATACAATGTAGTGACACAGTGGCAGAATTGTTAACAAATAACGGTAAATGAACAAAACGAAAATCTTATTCCAGCGATAAATAGCTGGCAAATGCGTTAGAACAACACGACGCATGAAAAATATCAGATAAATTTATTTGATATTTGAAATTTATATAAATAAATTTATGTGTAAGCAACCTCTGATTAAAATAGCGGTTTACCCGTTGTAGTAGAGAATTTAATCTCAAATTGGATTAAATTCTATATGTGGTGGAGAGCACGCCATATATTTATTTAGGAATTAATCCAGTTTGAGGTTAAATTCTCTACTACATCGGGTAAACCGCTATTTTAATACATGTCGAGATGACAGTTTCTCCATCATACTTTGCAGTGTAGTCATTTACCTTGGACATAGACATGTCAGAGAATGAACCCGGCAATGAATTGATTGGATCGTGTTGGTTACGTAAGTAGTCATTTGGCGATGGTCCAACACCAGCATTGGCCACATTTCCAATATTTGCAATTCCTATCCCAGCACCGATACTGACATTTCCATTTCCGCTCAAGTTATGATTACCACCAGGTTGTTTGTTCACATAGGCGGCTTGCTGCTGTGCTATTTGATTTTGCAATGTAGCAATTTGTTGCTTCAACTTCGATATGTTTAACGTCATGGGAATGTTGTTAATGCCTCGATTCATATTTGCTTGGTTCACTTGCAGTTGCTAGATTTTCAAGCGGAAGAACAAATTTTATTCATTTGATATTTTGATAACAATGGTGTTGAAATATGTGATCAAAGTAGATGAAAACAAGATTACATTGGACCAAAGATTAACTTTAATTAAATGTTGTTTAACATTCTACATGAAAAACACGATTAAGATGATTCTCTTTTGAAAATACTATCGATAGAACCGTAATACTAGAATAAAAGAATGGAGAACAAAATAAGAAATATGATCTTCTTGTATGGAAGAGCCTTTGTTTTATATTACATAATTAATAGGAACATAAAATCTTTTCTTGTTTCAACAAAAAGGCTCCAAGAATTGTAAAGAGCCGCGATGTGATAAAGAATCCAAGAATTGTGTTGTTGATAATAAAAATGGGAATACAGAACTGAAGCGCAACATGAAATTTGTTTCTTAAAAACATAGCATGAATTGTCGATCTCATTTTGTATCTCTTTGCGAATTTTTAGCCAAAAATACAAAACAATTTCTTCGCGAGGAATGGGCCTAACAAAACGCTTGTACTTACTTTGATGTGAGCCAACAACTGATTGAGCAGGACCAAGGTGGTTGGAGCTAATGGTTGATTGAGGATTTGGTGATTCAGGTAACCAGCTTGCACAGCCATTTGAATTTGTTGTACAAGCATACGTAATTGTTGCGTCGATGGTTGACCAGCGGCTGGGGTCGTATTACCTGAATTTCCTGCGTTCAACGTTTGATTTATACCTTGATTGAATCCGCCCCCTAAAAAAACCGCATTTCGATTTTATATACTCATCGATATACTTAATTTGTTCATTTAAGAGAATATTACCAGTGCCTGAAGCATTATGTGCGCCTTGATTCAAATATTTTTGTGCTTGCATGGGCTGCATGTTGCCGATGGCATTTAAGCCTGGATTTGTACTAACCCCACTAACGCCAATAGCGTTCAACAAATTTGGATTATTATTCTGTAAGAAGAAAAAATGGCAAAATTTGGTGAACAATTCGGAAATTATTCATTTGAACTTATTAAGACTTGTAGCCAAAACTCATTATTTTATAAAGGAATTAAATTATTCAACACATCTCCGATAGAATTAAAAAAACCAAGAAAATTCAAATCAATTCCAAACAATGTTGTCCAAAACATACGTTAAAGAAAACTTTTATTGTAAATGCTGCTTAATGGAGAAATTTAAATGAAAATATTATTATTATTATTATTATTAAACCATATAAAAAAACTCACTTGAAATGGCATTGCTTGTTGTGGTCCCCCTGGATATCGTTGTGGAAAGTTGTTGTGATCAAAGTTACTGGCGCCGGCGTTGTGCTCGTCATGACGTCTCCATGCGTCAATGCTGTTGGCCGAACGAGATTGATTTAAAATCTCGATGGCTTCATCCAAATTGAGATTAGTCGCTCGCAATGCTAATTCGATCTCTTCCTTTTTAAAACCCATATCAAACAACATTCTATAAGACGAAACTCCTGATGACACTTTTGATGTTGAGTTCCGATCTTTAATTTAAACAAACTCAATTAATCTCTTTTATTTTTCATACTATTTTTCTCGTTACTTACCCAATCCCATAATTTGTTTATTTTTCTGTTGTTGTTGTTGTTGTTGTTGTTGTTGTTGTTGTTGTTGGACTTGCTGTTGTTGTTGCTGTTGCCAAACTCCTGGAGTTTGCGCGTCCCATGCGCCACCTGCGTTTGCTGATTGCAATTAAAAGAGCAGTATTTAGTTTTGCACTTTTGAAAATATTTAAATTCATCATCTCACCATTAATAGCAGCATTCTTATCATTGACACCAGAAACGACTGAGTGTTCCTCCCATGACGTTGTGCGTCCGGCATTGTTTGGCGCTTGATTCCACATAGAACCATCTTGCTTAAGTCCACTTGGAAGTCCACTTGGTAATCCGCTTGGAATGATACGATTTTGCGGCAACTGTGGAGTTGTAGATCCTGACCCTAAATTGTTTTTGCAGTTGCAAACAATTATAAATGTTTATTGGAAAAAATCAATTTAAAATAATATATTACAAATTTCACCAATTTGGAGGATTATAGCTACATTTTTAAATTTCTAACTAATGAGTTCAATGCACTGGGTCAACATGAACCACTCGTGTAAAAAAAAGTTTACAAAACTCCGTTATAATTTTATTTTAGACTGTTAAAGGATGCCATCATTCTCCATTTAATGAATTGAATGAGAAAGGGACAAGTGAGACTTGGATTCGAAATATTTTTAAGTGTTACATCTCCATAAAAGTATACGTCAAAATATTTCGAATTCAAGTCTAACTTTTGCCTTCATTAATTCAATTCATCAACTGAGAAAAAGAAGAAGTGGACGTATTTATTCCAAAAATGGTATAAATTAATTGGATACAGTACCTGCAACAGGTTCATCCCAAGAACTTCGTGCACCTTTTGGCCAACCCCGATTTTGTTGCAATGGCACTGGTTGTTGCTGTTGCTGTTGAGTAGTTTGTTGTTGATTTGGCTGCTGGGGTGCTTGCTGCTGCTGCAAGTACATTTGTTTTTAAATATAGAATAATATATATATTGTCATGGACATATATTTTCTTTTTTTCTATAACGTTCCATCTCAAATGTAATATGTCAATGAAAATTACAATAAAAATGAATACTATCGAAAGTTTTGGACATCAAAATTGGCCGGACGGTCCGAAATTCAACTTTTGACCCAACCGTTGGATTTAAAAAGGTTAGATGCAGTATTGAAGACCTTTGAGAGTAGGTACTTTTGATGGCTAAAAAATGTTAGATCGACTTCAATTTGGCCATGTTATGACCATTGGAAAACTGAAGTATAAGGTTGGTCAACATTTTTGGACGTCTATACCTCGGTCAAGCTGTAAGCAAATCATATGTTTTATATATAAAATTTCAATGGTATATATAAATTATTTGCAATAAAAGTAATTTCCAACGATATATGACATTCTGCAGCTAAACACTTGCTTTGATTTAAAAAAAAAAAAACAAATGCAAATTTTTCCGACGGCCAAATTGAAACCGATACAAAAGTTTTCAGCGATTAAAAGCATCTACTCTCGAAAACCTAAAAATTTTCTAAATTAAAGGCTGGGAGAAAATTTGGAGTTCTGGCCGGTTTTACCGAGAACCGTAGTTTGCCCATAGGCCGACCAATTTTGATGTCCAAAGCTGTCGATAGTATTCATTTTTGTGGTAATTTCCATTGATATATGACATTTGAGATTAAGAGTTATAGATAAAAAGAGAACATACAGTCTAGGTTTTCTGGAACTTCGTTTTCTCAATCAATGTTCACTGAGTTCACAACAATAGAAAAGAGACGAAGAAGATGGAAATAATCATACGTACAGATGCCCACAATGATGTTCCGTCATCGTAGTTCGGTATATTACGTCGTTGTGCAGGCGGAGATGGCTCTTCCCATCCAGTTGGTGGTTTATCTAAAATTAGTGCAAGCATATCGATATAAGCCTATTCATACATGAAATCGTGTCAAATGGTTTCAATATATTTTTGGACTCTCAATTCTAGTGCGTATATTTGTATTGATTATATTTCTGTTGCATCCTGTTGTATTTGTATGGAGAGGTTGCAAAAACGGTCATCGTTTATAAATATGTTATTTATACGAACCTGTCTTCATTGGCATTTGTCCATGTTGAGATTGCGGCTGTTGGGACTGCTGTGCCTGAGGCTGCTGTGCTGTTTGTTGATTGACACCTAACAATAATTTTTAAATATTGATTAACTTCGGTGTTTGGTTTGTAAAACTCTCTGCATTAATTATACCTTGAGTCAAATTGTGATGTTGTCCCCACATTTCAGAGGTTCCATTCAATCGGCCTGCATGTCGAAGTTTTTATTATAGTGACAGTTGCGAACAACAGGATAAGAAAAAGTAAGCTATTTACCTGAAATGCCGCGCAGATCTCCACGTACATCACGAACATCCCTGGAAAGATCACGAAGTATATCTCTGGTTGGATCACGTGGATGCGCCATTGGAATGTTGAAGTGTGGACTAGAGTATCAAAAATACCAGACATCAGTCAAATGAAAAGTTCATATTATACCTATTTTCAATTTAAAGAGCACCAAATTCTGGGTGCGTTGATGACATTAACACAACACATCGATTGCTATTCACACTTCCCGAAGCACAAAAATATGTGTATTACACATTGTGTAACAAATTCTTTCATCTCCATTTCGTCGATGTTAGTTTCACATCAATTCTTCAAACCCAGATCATCAAACAGCAAGTCAACTCATTTGTAACATACGCTGATATCACTTCATTTCATGAAATAAACAAATATTCAACGAAGCGAAAAAAGAAAAAAAAATAACAAGCAAGACGTGTATTGCCGGAGAAATCGGTGTTTTGGCAATTAAAACCACATTGGCACATATCGTTCGACCAGAATACTATCAAGAAGTCAAAGATTGGTTCACCCAAAAGTCGATTGAAAGCACCAAAATCTATCGCCAACCATCCATCATTCACATGGGAGCCGTTGATATGCCGGCGAATTCCCCAATCAGAATCAAGAAACATGTTCGTCCAGACAACCGTAAATTGGCAAAGAGCTGCAGAAAGATTCCGAATAACGTCGTGCGAGAAGTCAACGAGAGCAAAACATCACAGCTTTTTTGGTAGATGTTTCACACCTTTCGACGTAGCAACACAAAACGATCGAATGAAAATATGCGAATGGTGCATGCCAGATAACGGTGATTGGCCACCATCTTTTGGCCACCGTGACTAAATTGGAATTGAATTCGAAATTAAAATTTAGAATGAAAATGAAAGTGAAGAAATATCGTACTAATAACTTATTTCTGTGTTTTTTTCTCTTTGCAGGCCACTGTCATCTCTTCGGAATTCACCTGCACTTCATGTTTACAATTCCACGAATCAGATAAAACAGAAAAAAGAAAGGTCAATTAGAATAGATTTTTTTTCAAACAACATTTTTGTAATAGTATATTGCATACTGCTGGAGTTGACTTTGTGACCCAGAACTTGAAATGAGTCAGAAGAGCGTTTATATGTGTTGATTGTTCCATTATGAGATTGAGCACGAGGGGTTGATATCATTAAATAGGTGTCTCTCTAATGCAAAGAGGAAACTTTCTGCTCGATTTGATGACAATAACACATGAGCAGACTTTACAACAGTTTTTTGCTTCAGGAAGTGTGAATAGCAATCGATGTGTTGTGTTGATGCCATCAATGTACGCAGAATTTGGTACTCTTTATATTGAAAATAGGTATTTTTTATTTGACTGATATCAACCCTTGCTGTGGACTTTGACAAATATTTAAATAAGTTTACTTTTCTCCACAATTAACTCGTTAAAGCGATGTCCGTTGTTATTATTAAATTTTTCTGAATTTTTTTCCATTGTGAGAAAATTACATACCCATTCGATAAACGAATGTCACGTGGATCTGCATTTCTAATATCCATTTGGTTGCCAGCTACGTTCCGTACATCTTGTCCACCCAATACAGGATTTACTATTTGTGGCGGTTGTAATGGTGTTGCGGTAGTGGTTGCTAAAAGAAAGAAATTTAATTTATTTGTACACTTTAAAGCTTAGTATTAAATATTATACAAAATATACCTGGGTTTGCGCCAGCGGTCGGTGGCCACATAGTTGCGTTTTGTCCAACATTGGCATTAGCTGCATTCACATTAACAGCTGCATTCGAGCCGCTTGGCTGATTCCATTGTTGAGCCGGTGCATTAGATTGTGTTGCCCAAACACTTAAAGAAGGACTGAATTGTTAGTTTTGATTGCATGCATTTTTCATAAAATTCTTATTTAAATAAAAAATACTTACCCTGAGTCAGCTCCATCGTCATCTTCACCCCAGGTACCACCAAGATTTGTAGATGGGGTGTGTCCCCAAGGTTTTTGAACAGCTGGAGCAGGTGGTTGGCCACCATTGCGGAGATTCGCCTCCCACAATTCAGTACCATTATTGATATTTGGTTTCCATGTAGTTTGTACTGCTGCAGCCCCGGCAGCAGTCACAGATTGAGTTGGATCGGATTTTACGATGTTTCCACCGGTCATTGGTTCTGGAGATCCTGGGACATCCCAATTAGTGTCTTGATTCACATGTTGACATCCCCAACCATCTAAAAAAGAACCCTTTAATATCTGTATATTATTTTTTTGCGAGATAAATTATACCTTGACTAAACAGAGCGTCTCTCATAGTTGTCAATTGCTCGAGTTGATTTTTGGCAGCTGCTGTCGAGGTTCCACCTCCAATAAGACCAGAGGCACCTGTGCTGTTCCCCGGATTATTGCTATTTGCACCAATGATACTAATGTTGTTATTGCTAAAAATGACATAATCAGCAACAGTTGAATGTATAATCATATAACTATGTATCAGAGGAGTTTTTATAATGATAATGAAAGAAATCGTTCGGCATACCTGCCGGCAGCTTGCTGAGGTGGTGGTGGTGGTTGCTGTTGTTGTTGTGCTGGAGCCTGCTGTGGCTGTTGAGTTTGGCCTTGAGCTTTGCTGGCATTTTGGATTTGTTCATGAGCTTGTTGTGAGCCTTTTTTTAAAGATATTTAAAAAAAATTCCCAATTGTATTCGTTTCTACCGATAGAATGCATAGAATGAGTGATCATTCACGAAGTGATCGATTACCTGGATTGGCGCCAGCGGCCGGTGGCCACATAGTTGCGTTTTGTCCAACATTAGCATTAGCTGCATTCACATTAACAGCTGCATTCGAGCCACTTGGCTGATCCCATTGTTGCGGTGGTTGACTTGCGCCCCAGGAGCTGGTGTTTGCATTACTTGCTCCTTGAACGTGAACGTGATTAAATATAATTATGAATGTTTGCGAGTTTTTGACGCATGCATGTAAAATGATAGAAATGATATGCAATATCTCTTACCAGCTGCTGCGCTTGGTGCTGTTGGTGGTGATCCCCAGCCAGTGGTTCCGTTGTTGATGCCCTGTTCGCCACCTCCGCAGAGACGCATCAATCTTTTGGTATTGGTCGATGATTTCGCATTCCATTCACGGACGCGATTTGGTTCGGAATCAATTAATTCGATAAGCTTATCAAATGAAATGTGCGATGTGAATTCAGTTAATGTGGATGCCAATACACTTTTTTGATCGTTGGATATCGACGATGATGGCAGCTTATTGTTTTCATTTACAATTGGGTTGTCAGCAACAGAATCTCCTCCTATCTTATACTCATAGCGATTACGATTATCGTGCGTAGTAGAGTTTGTAGTCTTTGCAGTAGTATCATTTGCCATTGAAGAAGTAGTTGTAGCGGTTTCTAAATATATCGAGAGGGAAAAATATAACATTTGACAATAAGAAAGAAAAGTCGGAAGCAAGCGAAGCACAGCACTTACGTGTGTCAGCAACACGACGATCCGCTATTATATCAGACTTAGCAACATTTAATTCATTCTTGTAGTTATCACAAAAGGTATCAGTAGCATTCAAAATATTTTTACCCTTAAGACTATTATTATCGCGAATTATTTGGTACATTTTATTGTTATGAACCATCTTTGATAGTTTTTTGTTATCAGGCAAGACATCAGACTGATTGAATTGCAATTGTTTTGGTGGCCAGAGTAACTTTAAAGTAATAGAATCATTGTTATCGTCATTGATTTGTTGCATCATCTTTATATCTTCACTTCCATCGATTAGCTGCTGTTCGACGGTGTGTATCGACTGCAATTGAGTTATGAATTTTTCGTCATCATTTTCGGATTGATAAATGGCAGCAGTGCCATGAGCGACTGCATCGGCGCCGATAATTTGGTTCTCCCTAATCGTAGTTAAATGATCGTTATCGACATCATCAGTATCATTCACAGTGTCTCGATTAAAACTAGCCTTAAAAATTTTAAGTTTTTCCTTAAAAGCGTATTCAGACTTCATGTCGGTTTGAGTGTTTATGTTTGCCGTAATTATTGTATCCGAAGTAGTTGCTGCAATCAACTTATGGTTGTTACTAGTTTCCTTATTATCCTTGCTATGGGACATATGTAGTAATACGTGTTTCGTAAAGCTGTTGTTGTGTCTCACTGATGGACCGCTCATCGATTCATTTTGATTCGATTGGCAGCCATCAATGTGGTCTAAGTGGGATTTTCTAATTGAAAGTTTGTCACTGCTTCTGGCGTTTCGATACCATTGACTGATCGACCAAAACTAATATATCTAAAACTTGTTTGTCGTCTCCTTCACACCGTATAGTTTTGATCCTATTTGCAACTTGGATAGCCAGTAGTACTCTACACTAACTTCTTAGTTCTTTCGATTTGTTTTGTGCTATTTTTTATTTGTATTGTGTTATTAATCGATGTTTGATGACGTCGATTGGCTCGCCTTGATTTATTTTATTTTACTGTTGAATTTTTACAATTCCGTTCAGATCGTTGGCTTGATTGCTACATGTATCCACATCGAGGATAACACAGAAAATTACACCTTCGCCTGGACTCGTCGACTATTCAACCGCAACCGCTGCTGGCATTTAGACTGATTGGTTCCTCCTTACGCTCTGAAAATGATATTGAATTGTGGTTGAAATTATGTGTTTTTGTCCATCATCAATATCAGAATGTGTAAATAAACATTTCCACTATACAATTAACTTCTATCTTCCAAAAGAGGTGGGATTCATACTTATACTTTGGTATTTTAGCAAAACATATGCAATGCGAAAAAATGGATGTCCCCAATTCTTTAAAACGAAAACTGGTTAGAAACTTTGCCCATGATTGCCGCCCTAACGTTCTTTTCATGTATTGTTTATGGTTTTTAGGGTGCGTTCATCTGTCAATTCTACTGATTTGACATTTGAGGCATGGATTTGTTTCGACAATCCAAAAACTCACTCAGAATTACTTCGGCGACATGTACGACTTGTATTGGTAATTTAACAGATCACCACCATTACTATTAGCGATTATAGTGATTTTATATGTATTATATCGGCTCTGCTGTGTGACAACCAATACTTTATAACCAATGTCACAAAGTAGTATTGATGATAATTTCATATTGCATAGTTCATTTTTTGCAACACGGAACGGCATTTGATATGTTATTAAAACATGAATTCAGTGGATTTAATTTTTGATCAACATCTTTTGCCACTTGAATGCAAAATTTGAAGCATGCATACAGAATTAAAACACTCTTTCTTCGATTTCCTTATCCCTCTCCCAGATCATCAACGGTTAGTTGTTTATCATTCAAAAGGTTGTATTGCTGCAAAAATCTGAAGATGTTTGGTTTGACATAAGAGTCATCAGTAGCTATTCACTGAATTTATTTATTTAATTTATACGTATAAACAGTTTGAATCGAAAAGGTTATGGTTTATAGATGTTACAATTTCATAGGTTACACTGGTCATTTTTCGATTCAAATTTCAATTTTCCAGATAAGTGCCGGTCACTAATGTTTACTACGGTCCAAAACAGAGTATTTAACACGAGTTAGTGAAGTTGCCCGGAACCATCCAAAGTGTTCAAAACAATTTAGTACTTTTTAGTACATTTTTAGAATATTTTTAGCACTTTTAGCACTTGACCTGCAAAGCTCTTGAGGAGTACTAAAAAGTTTCTTCAGACACTATCGCTCTATTTCAAGCAGTTGAGAAGTTTCACGACTTCGAAAATGCACGAAAATACCGTTTTATAGCGAAAAGTGATTTTGAGACAATAAAGTGGACTGGATGTGGATTTTTCGAGTTGATGTGTTCAGAAGTGTTGCTCAGCTATACTCTACTACAATATTGCCGAACACAGTGAGTGAAAAAATGTATACTGCTCGATCTTTGGTCGAAAAACTAAAAAAATTGACTATTTTTTCGACATTTTACCCCATGGCTCCCACCAGATGTAATTTTTGGGTTTAGTTTTTTACTATTTCTGCCTAAAATTGAACGCCAAACATTTTCTTAGTACATACCAAGGCTATAAAACCATTACGAATGGGAGAAAAATGGTATTGGTTCAATACCTTTTTGTATTTTCAAACAGATGAAAACGTAAAACGCCGAATTCGATATTTAAAAAAGTTGACCCAATTTTAATATTCTGAGAACGCAGTTGTTCTTAGATTTTGGCCCTCTAAAACGCCTGATTTGTCCCTATCAATTGCCAGACAAAAAAAAAACATCGGTATCACTGTGTACTCTATGGAAATAGACACAAATCATGTCCACATAGTTTTGTTGACATTTTCCGGTTGAAAACTATTTTCCTGATGCATGTGCGATTTTGAAGCCAATAAACAGAATGACAGTTATAGCGACAAATGATTTGGATCACAAAAGGAATAGAGAATCAATGTGGATAAATAAAAATTTGGTGGTTTAGTAATGTTTGGTTTTGTATTTCTATGGGCTATCTAGGCCGGAGTCGAATCCTTTCGATAGAAAACGAACTGAAAATAAAATGAAAAAACCGAGTCACGAGATTAAAATAATGAAACAAAGTAATTTGAATAAATAAACTTGTTTGTGGTTTTCTATTTAGTTGAGATAAAAACATGTCATGGTTGCACTACAAATTGCGATGGCGTTAATATCCACCGTTTCGCATTTTTGCAAATTTGGACAACATAAAATTCCGAATAAAATGTTATAATAAATTGACTCCGTGACAATGTTTCTATATGAAGTGTACGGAGAGAAAATTTTATTTGTTTTTTTTTTCATCCCGATGAGCACACGCAAATTGATAGAAAGCTTCAGAAAACTGGATGTGTCATTCGACCGATCATAGAGGATTTCAACTCTCAGACTTGTCGAAATGCTTTGGCCGATTCGATCTTCAGACAAAGCGAGATAGTTTTGCAGTATGGCAAAATTGTCGTACATGCGGAGAAGGCCATCGACCGCATCGTCACGCTGAAATCGAACTGAGATCGGAAACATTTGAAAGACTATGCTGTTGAAAGCATAGTAAATCAAGGTCATCCACCGCCAACATCACGGGCGATATATAGAACGTTTACTGTCTAAGGTGAATGTTTATCCAAAAAGCTGGCAAACTTAGGCAGACGTTTTCTATGTAAGTACTCACTCAATATGAAAACGGGAAAATTCATAGTAAATTCGGCAATTCGACGAATTACCGAACGTTTTTTGTGTTTTCGGTAAAATGTCGAATTATCAACAATGTTCCAAAAATGTTGGTAAAATGGCATTTTACCAACATTATGAATTATTTTTCGTGTGCTCCAAATTTGTCTTTCTGCATTTGTTCAATCGGATATTTTGATAAATTCAGATAATTTATCGTGTGTTACAGTGTTAAATTGCAATTGAGTGTGATTCGCCACTCTTTGAATGCTCCATTAGAGGTCTTTCCAGTGAATTTAAAATTACCAAATGTTGTGTGTGATTTCGGCAAATCGTCAAATTGCCGACATTATATTCATAATGTTGGTAAAATGCCATTTTACCAACATTTTTGGAACATTGTTGGTAATTCGACATTTTACCGAAAACACAAAAAACGTTCGGTAATTCGTCGAATTGCCGAAGTTACTATGAATTTTCCCGTTTTGATATTGAGTGAGTACACAATAATAAAAATTTATCACAAGACAGAGTGATTAATTTATAATTTTTAGATCATACAACGCCTATTTTCTTTGGGAAGTTTGAATATCAATAATTGGAATAAGGAATCGTGTTTTCGCGGTTTTCGCGTAACTGATAAGAGATGAGAGATATCTGTCTTCGACGAAGTTGTAGGAGACCTTAGAACTACAACTTCGCCGAAGACACCAACCGCTATCAAGGGACAGGCAACGCACATGTGTATTTGGGAGGTAATATCTCACACATGCTTACAGATATGCATATGAAATTCCACTGGTGTGTAGCTAAAGGTTCAAGCTATCGGTACCATTTTCAATGTGAACTATTTGGGTTTTGATACATTTATTCGTAATTTAAAGTACCCTCGGGCGTTGTACGACTGTACAAAGTGTTAAACCTATCACATTTTGTCTCATTGAATGTTTGACAAATCGGGCCATCTGAGTGTCTCTGACCTCAGATGGCCCACCAATCAATAATCACCATCAGTTACCCTAGCATAATATCAAATTGAATGAAATTGAAATGTCAATTTGACAACAACAGTGTGCTCAGATGCAGACTCAAATGGCTGTCAAATGAACTGTCAAGAAAATCTGAAATATCTACCAAAACCATGTATAAATCTGATCATATCTAATAATATCTGCTAAATTAAAAAAAAATCTATCATTGTTTCCAATTTTCTAAAGCGTGGTCAGCCCCTAGTGTGAGCCCTAAAACATGTAGAGATCGAGAAAAACACAAACATTGACGAAATATTTTGTGTATACCTTCTGTTTTCGACCCTCTGTCACAATATCGATTTTTTTATTTATTTCTACTTGAGAAGAAAGCACACGTGCGCACCACAATGATTTACACATAAGAAAACCATATTTGGCCTATGGTTTCATTTAAATATTTAATATATGGTATTGTAATCAAGTTCAGACCTTTTCTTGATGACTTTCATTTTATATTAACTTTATGTCTTGGATTGGTTTAATTGGAATAGATTTGTAGAAATCTTCGTTAGTTTTTTATCTTCTCAAATGTTTATAGTTTAGTTTCAATTATTATCACAGATAAAATTATTGCTCTTCCTATATTTATGTGTCGATCTTGTTATGCTTTTTTATGTTTAGTATTAGATTTTGAATTTGGATTTTTAGTACTTTAAATAAATTCTTTATATTTGTTGAATCAAACTGTCCTGACTGTGACTGATTGATTTGGCGTCTCATACCACGAAATTGTTATGACTATTGTTGGTATTTTGGTCTGGTTCTAAGCACTATTCCGATATAGTATCAATGTGATTAATATGTACGAGGCTGCAATGATAAATTGTCGATACAATTTTCACACAATTAGGATTTTAAGATTGTGTTCATTTTTTTTTTAATATTAGCCTCTTTTGCTTTTTTGATTCGTTTAACTTTAAGCGTGACTTTTTCTATGTCTTTTGTTTGTTTTTCTCCTTTTGTTCTGATGTTTCAGTAGTTTCAGTAGTTTCAACACACAACGGATGCGTTATAAACAGATTCCAGCATGTGTGTATTCGCTCTCTGTAATCCGAAAAAAAGGAAAGGAGCTTCGTAAATTTTCCGCTTCATAAAAGTTTGCTTATAAAAAAAACTCAGATATACTTATTAGCTTCATTTTAATATGTATAACATGCAGTCGATTCTTCCCGAAGCAAAAAACTGTCTAATTTGAATACATGTTTTCGGAACGCCCAGCATCTATCAAATTCAAACGCTTGAAATGACAACCATTCAAACATGTGTTTTAAGATCGCTGAGCATCTCAGCATTTCGTAAGGCACGGATATATCCGAGCATAT